AGCGAGCGACCTCGCGGGAAAATGGTCCTTTCAGCACTCGATGAAATATGGATCGTTTGTTACAACTTGCGTATAGCATACGCCACGGCGCTTCTGAAGGCGTCTGGACGAACACGAGAAGTCCTTTTCGGTGAGGAGATACGAACGGGATTTAATCGTCGGCGGGGATAAATCGATATTGGGAACGCGCTCCGAGACGTTACCTTTGCTGTGCCCCGATTGATGATTATATAGAATCGAGAACGGATAAAAATTCGCAGACCTTCGTTCGCTCACAAAGCCGAAACCGCAACGTTTGATGCAACCACGGTCGCTTCGTAAAGAAAAATAAGATATAACGACCGATAAAAAATTGAATAAAAACAGCGAGTGCAACATATAGAAAAAGTAACACACGAGTGCAATGCAACTAAATTACTGACGTTGAAATATTGACGATGCTTTACGATTAAAAACAGTGATTATATAGGCTGCAGGCAAGCTGTATTTTTGCTTATACTTTCGTTATTAATTACGTGGAAAAAACAATTTTGCTGAGGTATCTGAAAATTTAACTAGATATAAATCTAAAAATAATTTTAAAAATCATAATTCATATTAGATCGACGAAAATAAATCAATCAAGAGAAATAAACCTATTTTCAGTCAAAGCGGATCTTAATGCCTAAATATATTTCAGAGTAAATTTGTATGTATACGTATTATACCAATTTTACGGACCGAAATCTTTTTCGGTCTTCAAACGTAATCATAAGTTTATGATATAAAACTGGAGTAGTAATATCACATATTAATAAATTAAAGAAAAATAAATTTATAGCGTTATAAAGAAGTATCTTAAAAGAATATTAATAATTTAATGCCAATCTAAGCATTTTATGAACTATAAATAATTTAATTTACTACGTAAAATATTTCCCCAGCTGGAATTCGAATTTAGATTTCAGAATTGGCTATGTATATATAAATTCGGAGATAAATTCATTCTGAAATATTTAAGCACTAAAATCTGCTTTGACCGAAAATTAATTTATTTCTCTTAATTAAATAAATAATTTTGTTGAATCATCAAAATAATTATATCTACACTGTTAGATATCAAAGAAGAAAAACAATAATTCGTTGAATTAAACAACATTTTATTATTTTTAACTTGCAGTTGTATCGAATCAATTAATTTCTGTAAATAAATCCATTTCTATTAACGTATGCATTTAATGAATTCAAATCAAATGAAATTAAATACATGTTTTGAGTTAAATTGTTTAACCTCATTGTTTGAATCAAATTATTGACATATGAAGTAGAAACGGTAATCTATAGACATAATTAAAAATAACTCAAATTGTAGATATATAATAGAATTTGACATTATTAATTTAACAACCAACTTAATCATTCTACACAACTTTTTTTTTTATTTTGATAATCCAATAAAATTGTTTTTTAGATCTGTTTCTAGCTAAATTTTTAGATACTTCAATGTCAATATTTATATGCGGCATCTTTAATAATATCCGTAATTATAAAATTGGCCAATCACAGCTACATTCTTCTGAAGAATGGAATGACTGTGATTGGTCAGTTTTATAACTACGGATGTTATTAAATCCAATTAAGAATATCACATAGTCGATATAAAACCACTATTTCTATATACATCGTAACCTAGAAAGCATCAATTATAATATGACGTAAGATAAAATCGATGCGAAAGACTATCATTATCACGTTTAATATTTACGTTATCTTTCCTCATCAATCGCGATTCGTATAACACAAACATGTCCCGATGGTATATCCAGTGTCTTGTTGGCTGTCCGAAGAATTTATCATTCTAATAAAAGAAGATAAGAAGTTTTTGGGCGCTTATAAATTCTCGGTACGTGCCAGGCAACGTGCTGCAATCGTGAACGATAAAACGGTCCTGCGATTACTCGCGCCTCGACCGATTGCGAACTGCATTTCTCTCGGCGAAATGCACGGCGAACGATTAAACGTGTCAGCGGATTCTTACTTCCAACCCTGCCGTTAGTTTGCGGCGCCGTTCTTAATTCCACCGCTATACCCGTAACGCTATACCCTGCAGGTACATATAGGTGTGGTCGCATTTTATCGACGTGGGTGTATCTCATTTCGTAAAGTGCACGACCACTTCACTTTTCGCCTTCCTTTTCCTCCCCGTTGCTCATTCATCCCCCTTCAGCTCCTACTGCCGTGATTTTCACCCGCCTCTCGCCCCTGTCGATCTTGCCCGCGTCTCCATTGAATTCTCTCTCAGAAATAATACGTCGCATTTCTGACGTGTTCTGCGACTCGATGACGGAACAACGTACGGGAAACGATGCGGCCTCAATGGAGCGTGCAGGCGCGCGAGCTCATCGTTCGCAATTTTCGGAACGACCAAACACTCCCGAGCAACTCGCACGATCGAAACGCGCGCTTCGAGATACCATTCTTGTATGTACTGAGATTATATTGCGCGTTCACCTCGCAAAGCATCGTAGCAGGATATAAGAGAGGGAGAGAGAGAGAGAGAGGAGGCAGACTGGATGGGGGTGTATGTTCTTTGAAGCCAGAACGCCCCGTATATTGTATGATACGAGACGCCGGCGAAAAAGATTGTAATGGATTTTCGTAGCTTGGAAAGTGAATCGCGCCCGAGATGGAATAAACGCAAGAGCAAGGCTCTCGGCGCCGTGTCGCAACGCATTTAATAACGCGCGTTAAATTATCTTCAGCGAATAATTATCACATGGTCGATAACGAAAAATTGAAGTGGAGCGCTATTTTCTCACTATGGAATTTTCTGCTTCTCACAATTTATAATAGCCAGATTATAAATTAATTAAGTACTATTATTAATAATCATTAATAATGATAATAGTTAACTTATAGGTTAATCTTCTTATTGCAAATATCTTACGTACTTTGACCTTCCTTCATATCGAAATATAGTTTTCTAATTCGGCGCCATTTATCAGGTCGAGTTTTGCGACGCATACTGTAGGATCTGTAACTTCTCTTTGATTATTAATTTAATGCATAGTAGATCAAATAATTTAGAGTTTTGGTCCTAAATGAAATGTCAGGTCAACGTTACCTACGAAACAAATGTTTGATCATGTTTGACGCTATTCAAGTTGTTCGATAATATTAATCCCATGCTTCAAGTCATATGTATATATATATATATATATACACATACACACAATTATTTGATCTTCAATCGTCGAGAGCCACTGCAATTTTCAATACATTCTTACAAAAGTACAATTCTATTATTGGGCATCGTGGCATTTCAAAATTGCAATCACATAAAAGTTTCTGCTTGGTGACGTGCCGTGGCATTTTGGTCGGAACTAAGACGATACAATTTTTCTCCGAATATGTCTGGGCACAAAGAAGATAAAAATGTTGAATCTTGAAAACTGTAACTGCATAAACAAATTGTTTCGCAAAAATACGCGATTACAATATCGCCTTATTGAGTTTTAATTTTAATTTAATTTTATTACGTGTTTTAATTTTTTATTTTAATGTTTTTTTTAATATAGAGATTATAGCATTATGATAAATAAAAACATTTAATTATGGTAGTAGTAGGTATTATCTTAAGCAAAGTACAATTTATTTAAAAAAAAGCAGAAAACGTCTTTATTAAACAACGGTTTACAAACGGGTTGGCGATCGTAAATTAAGGAGTAATATGATAAGAAATAAAACGAAAGTTGAAATTTAATATCGCAACAGATTGGTCGATCGTGATCAACGGTTATTCGTAGAAAATCCGCACCCGGAGGTACAAGGTAGAACTCGCGGCTGGCGCATATTTACACCCCTTATACGAGATATGCGGAAGGAACATCTGCGAGATGTAGCACACTCCGGCATTACGAAGGATTGTGGCTACATACTGCAGTTGATGTGCGACGATAGACAGGTGGCTAAGCTGCTCGTACCAATCTGTCGCGTCCTAGTTCAGTCCCTAATTATTATGCATTGCCATGCAAATAGATGACATTTAATCGACTTCCCACACGAGATAGCACACTCCTCATGCGAAGGTTCTTTGACACAGCGATTGAAAAGCATCGTCAGAGATGAAGGAGAAACTGACACTGCAGATCCTTCCGGTTGTGTCGCGACACTTTTAGAACATTGTTAATAGCATTGTCAACGATGGAAATACTGCTTTAATCAAATTAGTCGGATCGCAAAGAGTCGTGCGAAGTAGGCCGTGGAAAACGGGAAATTAAAGGAGTATTAGGAAACGGCTTATGAGGAAACAGGTCTACCCTCCCCTCTCTCTCTCTCACTCTCTCAGTCGTCTTCCTTCTTTTCCTCCGGTATTTCTACTCCTCGTAAATCTTTTTCATCGAGAAATTCGACGGCGCACGAGATGAAATTTATGAACTCGAATGCCAGGACTTTCCTTCTCCTCGCAAAAGGAAGACAGCAGATCCGCGAGACACTTAACTCAGTAACATCAGGAGGATCTATAAGAGAAAGAGAGAGAGGGAGTGAGAGAAAAAGAGAGAAGGCAGAAGCCAATTACTTTGGGGATGAGGCGAAAGAGTAAAATTTGTAACGGAAGTTCGGCAGTAGTACGGGCGAGGGCAATTCTGCGTTGACGTATCGCGGCGTCGAGTTTCGAAATGAAATATCCGGTTTCCATACATTCGATCTTTTATCGAACGTATATTTCAACTTTATCTAACGACTGCGTTATTAGGTCGACGCTTCTTCGCTCATACCCTGCAGGCGTAAGGGGGATACGCGATCAGTGAAATATTAAACCTTCAGCGTCACGTCGGCTGCTATTTATACCATTATTATTGATAAGGTACGGAAGAACTAATGAAACTTCTATATATATAATATATATAGCACAGAATGAGAAACGTATCATGTTCCCTTTAGCAGTTTTATCATACATCTACTATCAGCGATGAAGAAATTTGATATAATCATGTTTAAATTAAGTAAAAAAGTTTATAGGTAAACTTTTCTCATGTTCAATTCTTGTTATATACATGTAGGTTACATGATGTATAAATACAGAAGTTATAATACCAGTTTTGAAATATTTACTTTCCGATCAGTTCCAACGGCAGTTTAAAATCAACTATTCACATCGAATGTAAGAGAGAATATTCGTTGATATTCTCTTATATTTTTTCTTCCTCCCCTCCCTCTCTCTCTTTGATATTTGCCTGCTACATTACGCGTCACGTTACTCTGCACTTTCACGTAAGCACGATTACGCTTTACGACGGATCGCAAAATCTATATTCCATACGGGCTTTACAAGCTTACGCCATTTTCTCGTAAAAATGGACAAGAAACGACTGCCGTTACCGTCATTGAGAAAGTTTTCTTTTTCCGTCCGCGTAATTTTGACACCGTCCAACAGTTCAGTCGCGCGTCCTGCATTAACTTCTACGTTGTGAGTCGCGATCTGCAGACGGAAAGAAAAATGAATCTGGTTTCTCTTGCGTCATTTTGATTTGTAAAATAAAGGGAGAAAGGGGAGAAGCCGATTTGGCGGATGTAATTAACCCGTTTTCGTCGCATCTAGTTTGAGCGCGTAACTGGCACGTCGAAAATTTTCCCGAGAAAATTACTGCGATCGCGGCGGCTGCTCCCGGCGGGTACCATGCCGTAAAATTTCACGGTATCGTGCCGCGAACAATATCCCGATATTCCCGCTGTCGAAGTCGCGTCGCGGATACGACGCCCTGAGGGCCTTCGTCATGGTTACTTTTGTTCTACGAATAGGTTTCCGCCGATCCCGCGTCGTCTCTGTTAAACGCGCTTTCCGATAGTCGAAACGTCAACGTGAGCGTGCCTGCGATGCATATACGATACGCGCACAACACGAATGTAACGCGACGCGAACGACGCAATCAATATATAACGAGGCGAACGCAACGTGGAAAATAGACATGTAAATTATGCGCGGTTGAAAATTATATTCGCCGTTCTGTTAATATGGGAGGAGGATATATAATTCCTCGCATACATGTATCAGCAATATAATAGACATCGTTATAGCAGATGCATAATAGATTGCAACCAGCATTTTTTTTTGTCGAGAAAATTCGGAAAAAAAACGTAGAGCGGAAGACGGGAATAGTAATTAACGAAAAAAGAGGGAAAGAGGAAATGTAGAGATTGAAAATAATCGAGCGATATTTTGAACGGTAGTACTGACTGAGAAATCTTAGTGGAAAATGTAAAATTTTTCACAGTATCGTACCCGGACAATATTCCCAATATTCTCTGTTCCGCAGCATCGCTAGTACGATACCGCAGGGGCTTCCATTACTGTTATTCTCGACCTGCAGTCGTTCGAGTTCACTACCATGAATAAATACAGTCTTTTCAGCTAGGAATTTCAAGCTTTTACACTCTTAATACAAGCGCTTTACGGATAATGGCGAGATGTTACGTTTTCTCGCTTTGACGCTTCGCTTTATGTGATTTTATTTTACAGGAGAAAATGTCATTTCGCGAACAGATGTTTTTCAAACGGTTTTAAATTAATGTACTTTTAATGACGAATCACGTTTCCATATTGGGAGATTATCAATTCGCAATGAAGACGGTGGTAAAACACATCAGGTGAAGACTGTAGATGCCAACAATAAGATTTCTCAGAATAAACACCCAAATTGTCGACAACAGGGACCAAGTAATATTCCTGACAGTACGATCTAAAATGTTAATTTGCCGAATAGTCGCGCGAAACGGACGAAGAATCTAATTCATGGTATAGTCAAGTGCAAATTAACGACGCCGTTCAGCGTTCTATTCGAGAATAGGATTAACGAAATACTTAATGCAATCGCGCTCAATCTTCATTTAGTCGCGCATTCACGAAAACGAAATTAAGTCTTATGCAAGAATAACGTCTATCATTGTCAGAGGGAATAATTAATTTTCTCGCTTTGACGGTTGAAATCACCGCTGTTCTCCAGATAACAAGAGGGTCTCGACGGCGGAATTTCATGAATCTGTGTCTAAATAGAATTTCTCATTCGTACTTTCTCCCGCTGAAGAACGCGTTTATCAATGTATGTAAACGCCTCAACTTGTAATTTGATAAGCTCGGGTATTAATCTCTTGAGCTTTTCAGTTCCAACTGGTTAACGACGTCTGAAGAATCAATAAATGACTATTTTCTCGAAACTTGAATAAAAATATATGAGAGAGGAAAAATTCATTTTATTTATTTATTTAACGCTTATAATACTTTTATACATTTTTGAAATGTAGAAAAATAAAGAAAAATCAAGATTTTTTCAGTCGCGAAAAAGTAAAGTATGTTAAAATGTTTTATAACAAAATCTGCGCTAAAGTTCCTTAAAGAAAGACTAGAATTATTTTTGAGATGTAAATTTATTTAACAGAGACCACGAGTAATCAATTATTAGTCGCGTGAAAATAGGCACTCTGGGACCGTTCGTTGTCGCTCCGCGAATCTCAAATTCTTTGTAGCCGACACTTCGGCGTCGTGACGATGCAAGGATTACTCTCGAGGGGCCGACGAGCGCAAGCACTACGTGTATAAGAGTCGTCAAATTATTCTGGACGTGCTTGTCGACGACGTGCATCCACCTGACGGCGGGGAACTCTCTTTGGGATATATCGTGGTTTGTTTACCCGAAACTACCGTCCCAGGCCGCTTCGCCGGGAGATCCGTCTCTGTCACTTCGTATACAAAGGACTTGGGGAACGATGTTGGCGTACGACGATGGGATAAGGGGAGCCAGCAACGGAAGAGTGTCACATAATGACAGCTTATTTCGCACAGTGTACCTCGGACGTCGATGACCAGAGTGACCGATAGATAAATGAAGAACGGGGAAAGATGGGAGGCAGGGAGCGAAGAACCAGGTGAACCCCCCGGGTTCATCGAGCGATCGAATCGCCTACTTCCGCCGACTCGCCAGATCACTGGCAGTTTATTTCCGCCCGACGTGGAATCGAGAGTCGATGGGCTCGAGGGGATGCGTTGTCCTAACGATGTGATTTATCGTCGTCTATGAAGCTTGACAGGTCCCCGTCATCGTCAGTACACAGACAGCGGAATACCCACGTCGATTTCTAGCTTATCGCGCAACCAGCGGCGATAAGCGGCTTACTCGAAGTCTGTCGAAGAGCAAACCGTCGCGTCGGTGGCATTGCTAAAATAGCGCAAACAACGGAAGTCGCACGGCTTAAGGATGAGGTTGCAACGGCAACGCCTACGCTATATCTTCCCGTAACGTAAATCAAAAACTTCTGAAGAGAAATTGCTTTTAACGTACATCCAGTGTTATTATCCAGTAACACGATACTTTTCGTATTTAACTAATTTGCTTATAATTGAACTGGGCTAATATTCTATGCGACCATTCATATCACGTGCGAATATTGCGGCTGTATGACGTTGTTAGTGAGTGCCAATTTAGCCATCGGTCGACGAACCAATTCACCAACCTGTCAAACTGTCAGCGTGGCGGGCACGCGACGTACGCGAATGTCCAACGAATCCGTACACCGAACAACGCTCGACGTCGAGCGGCGACGGACAATTTTTAGCTACGTCGAAGGGACTAATTAACTGAAATAAGTTGGAGTCATGGAAAATGAAATGTCAGAGTTGTCTAGAAGTAATTAATTCTTTTTTAATATACTTACCCCCTTATACTTCAAGACTTCCAACGAAAGCTTTAATAGCTAATGCTAATTTAATTGTTAACGAATATTGCGTGGGAAACATAAATAATAACGGCAAGAATTTGCATTATTAAACAACAAGATTTATTATTCGTATATACAAACGTTTACGTTTGACCATTTATAATTAACCATGAAGCACAATAAAACATCCGTATAGACAAAACATTTACGCTCCTTCAAACATTCGCGGATAGTTTTTACGGAAAGGCTTCCGAGATGAGAGATAGAGGTGACAGGAAGTCTTTTTTTTTTACGGCAAAAAATTATTGTCTCTGTACACGCGCATATGATCGCGCCCTGACGTCCCGAGTATCACGTTTTTTCTTAGAACGAAGCTAACGTATCTACATCTTACAGCTAGGTGAAAAACAATAACAGGAATGTCGAGTCAATGTGCCGGTCGGGAGGGTGGGTCCTTAACGATATTTATTGTCTATTTACAAGCGTCGTTTAATCGCGTACGACGGTTTGGCGAGCATTGGAGGGTACTGACCCGAATAGCTGGGTGCAAAGACGCTATACCTCCGTCTATATACAACTTTCCTGTACACGCATACTCCTCGTGTAGATATCGTGAGTGCGATGCACCGGCAGGGTGCTGGGCCGTATCGGACTCAAGCTCTTCTCGCTCTTCTCCGCATAGCCGTTCGGATACACCCAGGAGTCCTTGGCGTGAAGCACCGACGAGGGTGACGGATAATCGAGGTCCTCGAGGCACCTGAAGTCCTTGGCTTTCTCAGACGGCTTGCTGGACGCATATCCCGGTTCGAAGATGTCCGGCCGTCTCTCGACGGCCTTGCTCGGTATCACGTCCGGATCGTCGTCTGGCACGTCGTCCGCGTTTATCTGCTCCTTCAAGTCGTTCCGGTGAGCCTCGTTTGTCGCCGCCGGCGCCGCCGGTCGGTCCTGATCCTTGCTCTCATACTGTATCGGCTCCGCTACCCGTGCCTTCGTCGACTGCGTCGGATGGTTTCGACGGTACAAGGTCAGCGTTATCCCGACGATCAGAATGCAAATGGCAGTTATACCGCCAGCGAAGCACGCCACCAGGAGGCTGTAATCGGTCGTCTCGTCAGAGATCCCACGACCTGCGAAATAAGCGTAAAAAAAGATCGTGACTCGCGTGGGGGGGGATTCGTTGTATTCTTCTAGAAATAAAACCAGCGCTTCGATCTTAAAATACATAATATAGTATATTAATAGCATTGACCTGTTTTTTAAAATAAATAATCAAATAAAATAGATAAATTGTCGAAGGTAGATTCCAAGCAAGATTTAAACGTAAAAGAATTGGAGTAATTTGAAAGAGACTGGATTTCTCCCTCTCGATAAAATGTTCGATATCTGCACGGAAAGAAAGAATTTTGCTGCCGTGGCAAAACCGTCGCTGCTGCTACTGCTGCACATTCGACGTGAGAGTGACCAATTTTACTAACCAATTATTCGATATTGCAGCGAAATCTGTGTTTTGTTAATAAAATAAAAAAGGTCTTGTATACATGTGTATGCGAGTAAATTGTCCGTGGGAAACAAATTTGCCGTTAAAGGAAAAATATAATTTGTAGCCAAAACAGAATAGAGAGTCTGTTTCAAACAAATACATTTTACTATTAATATACATTTAATAACTTCGTTCTTTACACTCCTGACATAATAATTATCAAATATAGACATTAACATTGTGATGCTGCAAGGGGCATTTTATCGATCCTATCGTTATTCTTCCTATCATTTATTTACCTTAGAATTTTATTGCTATCGATTTGTAAATTTTATGTAAAAAGAAATAGTTCACTCTTAATTAATATAACACAAGTTTTTTCATCCATTTCACATTTTTAATGGCAAATTGTTTATATTCTAGATTTTTGTAAACACAAATAACTCCAATTTATAACTTAAAAAGAAAGAAAAAATAAGTACACTATCAAATTCAATTCTGAAAAATTCCAATTGTGCATGCATGTCATCATATTTTAAATACATAATAAGATATACAGTAACACAAAATTATTTAAAAATAAAAATCACTTATATTACGTTTTCTGATGATTCGGGAGTTTATAAAAATTTTGTCCATTATATTATATATCACTTTATAAAGTGATATATAATGGACAACATTTTTAAAAGCTTATTTCTGCTTGTCTTAGCTTTTAACATAGCGGATTGGACCTTTTAACTGTAACACTAAAGGCGCAGTCCAGCACTCAATAACGTCGCTTACTTAAAATGTATGTACCAATAGAATTCTAGGATAAAAGCGTATGTATGGCTTTATTAGCTTATTCAATGATGACGATACTTGCGAGATGAATGCAGCGCGTACGTTATTGATCCGATTGTCAAGTTAGTTTTGGACCATCGACAATGGGCGTACAATTCGATAATTAAGCGGCAATCAGCTATATCAGATTAGTGCGTAACGAGTTTCAGCGTTTTCTTTTTGCATTTCAGCAAATCGATTTCCATTAAACGGCAAATTTCGTATCGGCTATTTGCGTCGTAAGAGATGCTTTTATTCGTGCGTGCGCGCACGCGATTCATTACAGCTCTTTAATAGTTTAATAGTATACGTAAGACGAAAATTTACACGATAAGAAGCGCATCTCGAATGTAAATTAATCAGTAGAAAGTATTTTACATTAATAATAATGTCCATTATCTCTATTTATTACGACAAATTTCCGATTTATTGACTTGAAATATCGCGATATCGTTTAATTCTGCCGGTTGCAGTACAGTCGTTGCAGAATTAATGGCCGACCGTTACGCGCAAAACGTGCGATTTCCTAACATATATCCGTATATTCTTGACCGGCAAAGAACATTCGTCCTCATCAGGATGAACATCCGAACTGATGGCGACATCAACAGCAGCGTCTGGCGGCGTTGTTCGTCCCAACGTGTCCGGTAAACGAGATTCGCTTTTTCCGTGTACTTATTGGATCACGGAGGAAACGCAGGCAGCTTTCGGAAGCAAAGATTAAGAGGAAGGCGGAGGATCGGGTCCGCGGACGGAGATGGCCAGGCTCTTTAGAATTCAGAAAACGCTTTGGTTCGTTAGCCAACGAACAATCTCCTCTTGTGGGTGTGTGTGTGTGTGTACATGTATAGTCACACATGCATATACATTGTGACGCGCATACACGCGCGCGAACGTACACGATCGAGAACGAAAGGCGGAACACGCGAATGCGATCGTCTGATTGTGAGTCCGTCATCCCGAGATCTCGAAAGCTCCTTTCCCACTCCGTGCGCGTTCCTCCATTGCTACACCGTTAAGAGACAGTATTTGCCACCCCAGCGGGAATAGATGGAAGCTATATACTTGGACGGGGGCCCGGCGTAATGTCTGAGAACGTTTGAGGGACTTCGGTATACGCTTCCCGATACGCGACAGTGGTAGTGATACGCAGCGAGGATTCTGGATGAGCTTTGCCGGTCGCAGAATGTGCGCGTGCACACGCGTGTGTGTACACACGCACACGGGATGCCGATATATACGGTTGCCACACGTTTGCGTTACCGCACGGCGGAATCGTGCGCGAGCCGGCATGAATAACCCATGAGGATGGAAATTAAAGACGATAAATGCAGCTGAAATGAGGCGGTAGCGAGGAAAGGGACTTGGGCTTTATGGGATTTTAATTCAAGGTCCGCATGGCACAGCGTGATACTTAGGTATGGCCGCATCTTCTCAAAAGCAGCATCGAAATTCGCATAATTATATTGGGAAGTTTTGACGAAAGTCGTAGATTAGTAATGTTGACGCGCAACTTGGCGCCGCTTTATCGTTGATGTAGATTAATATTTGATCAATCCCAACATATCTCGCGCTTGATTACAGAAATGTCACGACAAGTTCTCGATTCCGACTACCGAATCCGACAAATAGATTGAATTTATGTCAAAATTTGAAAGTTTCTATTGCCAACATCGATAACTGAATCATCGATAACTGAAAGTGAAATTTATTAAATATTTTAACATTATATATATATATATATATATATCAAGAAAACAAAACGTATTGCTCTAGCTAATATTCTATCGTGCAAAAGTAACGAAAAGATCAATATATATGTACAACTGTGCATTAGCTTAAATTTATGAAACTGTAATAAGCGAGCAAGGAAAGCTACACAGCAGAACTATAAAATAGGACCGTAAATAAAACTATAAATAGAGCTATAAAACAGAACTTAAAACAGAACTGAAAAGTTAAAAGGAAGGTCTATGTAGATAAGAGATGCGAGACACGTCGAAAAGCAAATATCTTTGGTCTAGCATTAAAAATATTTTACGATTTAAATATGCATACAATTTCGAAAAGAAACGTTTACAATGTACAGTGTCGAACATTTACGATATACCGAAATATATACTCAATTCTATTATACAATTCGGTTCAATTACGAATTTCAGCTCTACGTTTCAAAATTCTTTCCACGACGGTCGTTAGTGCTTTATTAATATTCACCTCGTTATTATTTTGCCACTAACGTTAAGATATTATGTAATGAAGATAGAAGGATTAATCATAACAGGAAAACACTATCGACGTAATGCAATCTACATACATTAAAACCGATATTAATAACTGGAAATTACACATGGGAAAGATACAGCGAAGAATTTCCAAGAGTAAACTCTCTCGAGACATTCTGCAATCTCGAGCGCGGCTTCATCGGAATTGTGAATTTTGTCGATGAAGGTTTATTCGTATTATCATGCGGCAAACATTCATTTAATCAGCTCGATCGTTTTAAGTAACCGCCGAAACATATAATGCTGGCCTAGCTGTATAAACGTATACCGTCCAAACGCGGATATGAGATCGCTACTCCGGAATAATAATATCGTTAGAATCTTAAGCAGGTAAAAAAAAAAAATAGTAAAACTCACCAGTGGTGTACATCGCTACTCCTTTCAATGTGACCGGTTCCAAAACAACGGGATCGCTCCGCCCTTTTGCGTTGACGGCATAAAGATGAAGCCTATAATTCCGTCCCGGTTCTAAGCCGGGGACTTCGAAAACTGGACCGGATGAGCCGGATCTATCGGTGTGATTCAGGTAGATGGTATTGACATGATAAACGTTCTCCTCGCTGTAGACCTCTAGCTCGTAATTAGTCAAGGGCAAACCACCGTCGAATCCCTCGGAGCACCTGACGATCAGCCAGTCTGCGTCCCTCGAGTCGGTGGCTTTAAAGTCTTCGTGACCTGTTTCACACGGACGCACACATAGCGAGGTGGTTAAGCTTGCTCCCGGAGGAAGAAAAACACTCGGACTCGCTAGACCTAATTGCTTGCCGGCGTGAGCGTCGTCGCGGCAAAGCACACTCGATAGCGTCGATTAGGGGTTTCGGACCGAATTAATTGGATAATAGTCTTAGACTTGCATAATAAACATACCGGGAGACTGTAATTAACAGTTCTGATCGAGAAATATTCTTCTAAATAACTTCTATAAATCTTCAGTTACAAACATAAATCTGTACGAAGGGTGATTTTTAAAATGAGTTATGTTTAAACGTTGCAATGTTTGCTAAAATCCGCAAGCAAATGTTAGTTTAGTTAAAATTGGAATGGATAAACTATAGTTTTCAACTTATTTCATTCGTCTTATCCTATATTAAAATAAATATGAAATTCTCTAAAATTAAAATAATGATTTTTCGTGAATTATTTAATTGAATTAAGGGGAAAAAACGATCTTATTCGAAAGTATTGATGATCGATAAAGAACTAATTTCACGGTTATCACGTTTTTCAAGGGGAACAAGGAAACAAGCTGTTGAACACAACAAGGGCATCGACCATAAGGTGTCAACCACGATGATGGCCGAGTGTAATGGCGCAGTTAGCAGGTCGTTGCGAGGGTTCTCGGGAACCCTCCTAGCTGGCTTACCCATTCGGTACGCGTAGGGTCCAGTCGACTGGAGAGCTGTACAGTTCTGCAAGGGGTAGGGCTTCCCGGCGACGATGATCTGAAAGAGACAGGGCGTCCTCTGCATCCCTATCCGATTTCTCGCCCAGCAGGCGACCGTGCCGTAGTCCATGTCGTTCTCCGGTGTGTAATTCAGTCTGGAGCCGTGCCAGTGGTTCGTAATCAGACTGAGCGGTTTGACCTGCGCGTACCTCGTGGCTGGCACGCTCATCAACTCCCCAGAGTTGTTGAACGTCCAGTGGAAGGTCGTGGGCGGCGGTTTCGACTGTACGCCGCAGACCAGCGAGATCGTTTCGTGCTTCAAGGCGCCGACCACTTGGGTGGAAGAACCGTCCTTGCAGATCGGTGCGTCTGAAAATACGAGGGCGCCGGCTGGTAGATTCAATTTACCGCGGCGCACGCTCTCGCGCTCGTGAACGTCACACGGTGGGAAAATAAGAACCAACCATGAACCGTCGGCGGTTTTCGACTTCCATTCCTTACAGCAGCCGCCGATAATTGACGCTTTTATGTAAACGCGATTTACCAGTACCCGACTCAATATCGACAATGTTGTGATAAGAAAGTGAATGTATTAATAAAATTAGAATAATGGCGTAGTTATACTAGAAGAGCTCGAGATGATGAATTAAAAACACTTCTGAATTAAAAACCATTTTCAGTATCAGTTACGCGTATCAATTCGAATATAAAAAGTAAAGTACTTACACATTACTTCGAGGGTTACCGGTCGACTCGCGGATTTTCCTTCGACATTGGCTGCCATGCAAGAATATTCCCCGGCGGAGCTTTTCGTAACGCTTTGCAACACTAAGGAATCACCGGGAAGAATAATCCCCGCGGTGGCGTTCTGGTGCAATTCCTTGCCGTCTTTAAACCAAAGTAGCTTGTAAGATCTTGGATTGGCTACTACGTCGCACTCAAAGTAGACATCGTCACCCTCGTTTATATCGTTCGCTTTCAAACTGGAACCCAACTTAATGCTCACCACCGGGGTGTCTGAAAGCATCGGTAGCGAAAACTATCTTTCATTTCTTATAATTTCACACGCGATCGCAATTAGAAAATTGCTGTTGAAAGAAAGAAGAAACATATCAAGATTTTAAAATATTAATTTCAAGTCAAATTTTTGACACAAAAGTTCTATGAGTTTGAAGTAAAAAAAAATCACATGGATAGAGAAAATAACTCACAATACACCAATAAGTGCCATTTGTCCTCCAAGGCACTGTTAGGCACCACGGGATTTTCCGCTCTGCATGTCAGAAATTTTCCATCGTCCTCGATGGTCGGCACGTAGCTTAACACACTCCTCGTGACGTTCGGATTATCTGCGAACTACGAAGAACTCAGAATCCATGCCATAACGGCGTAGAAGCAAAGTCCTGTACGTCGAAAATGATAATCGTCCGTTCATGGAAAATATACTCACATTTCTAGCCATATGTTTGACTTGATGAGTCCCTTTCCACCAGGTGATTACCGCCTCCGGTCTAGAACCCGAACTGACACACTCGATCTCATACGTTCTTAATGCCGACAAATGAAATCGCTTATTCGTAATGTTGACCACGAGCGGTTTCACTACGGTAAAGAATTATCTGATAATGAGTTTGATATTAAATATTCATCACAATATTTTAATTTTCTACTCTACTATATTATGCATTGCGTCAGTTTATTAATTTTAATAATAAATTTTGAGTGCAATTAGTGCAACGAGAACTAAATTAATTAAAATAAACACAAAATAATTAAAAATAAACATATAATTATACAAAGCTTTTTAGTTTTTTTTTTTTTTTTTCAATTAAATTCAATATAATAAAAATTATGAGCAAAAAATTATTTCAAAAATTACTGCACAATTCATAATTGATTTCTACAGATTTCGTCTAATCAGTATGAATCGAATATCTCGATTACACTCACGGTTCACATCCAGTATGACCTCAGAAGTCAGGGGCGTCATAAGTTGAGTATTGTCCGCTTTGCAAATTAACCTCGTTCTCAGGAAGTCTCTGGTGACCCTCCGAATATCCAACCGATTTATCGTTATATCATCGTGCTCCTGCGTATACGTATCGTCCAAGATTTTGTCGTCGAAATACCACGTAACTCTCGGCGGAGGTAAACCACCGATCACCTCGCACAACAGGGACATTTCGCTTCCTTCGTTAAACGGTTGCAGTATTTTAGCCAAACTCCTGCTAGCGCCAGTATATATCACCGGCTTTTTCGGTGGCACTGTCAGCAAATTGAATTCCGATCATAGGAATTTATTTTCATGACATCGGCACGTATTACGTGTCCGTTATATCAAATTATATGCGCGATTTCCTTTGTTATCATTTCCTAATAAGATCGATTTCATTAATGTACTTACACGTAGTATCCACACTATGATAATTATAATAATTGAAATTGTTCCAATGGCTCTTGATAGTTAGAAACCGAAATCGAATAATTAAAATATCTGAATCTGCGTAGCCAGGCAATGCTATCAAATTTCTGTATTGCGAAATGGTGCTTGCAGCGGATAACAGCCGCGAAATGAAAATCAAGACATAACGGCCTGGTCTTTTATTCTTTTTTTTTTTACAAGAGCACGCCTGAGATTAACACCTGTTGAGTCAGTACTATGATATTGAATTAATTGATTGAAAATTGTATTGCTAAAACTACAGCGACCTTATAACTAAACGCATCAAATCACAACGATCCAAATAACAATGTTTATTCCTGTTGGAACTGATCCAACCGCATCTCCCGACTTCGTAACTTCATTTCGTCTCATATAGCTTTATTTCCACATGACTATCCAATACCCGTTGCGCGCGGAAGGTTGAGGTTGAACGAATTGAACTATCTCTTCGAGTTACTACTGTTTTCCGCGGTTACGCACCGCCCGCGTAAATCTCACCAACATGATATAATACAAAACGAATAAATCATGAATGAATGGAGATAACAGCCCATATGCGTCGCCTGATTAAAATCCCATAAAGCACAATCTGTCCACCAATGTCACTCGATAAGCCACAATTTTGCATCATAAAACGTTATATTTCGATGTAATAACAGATAATTGTGAAGTAATAATGAAAAATTAATTCTATAAGAAAGCTTCCAGGATTGATCGAGATCATTTTTTTTACATTAGGTATATGTAATTTATTTTGCTTTTTAAAATTATTAATTAATTATATACTTTGTTATATTTATATAAAATATGTTTTATATAAAAAATTTTTTTAGAATATCAGATGTAAATACTGCCTTTTATATTCATGCAGAGTATTCATTGTATTGCAATCAGTGCTTAAGGGGTATCTAACACCACTGTAAAGCGCGAAAGTGAAGCGTGTTTTTATGATTTTTTTTGGGTGGAAGGAAAAGAAGGAGGATAATGATAATCACGGATATTGTTAACCATGTTTTGAAGTGTGTGTGTTTAAACAAATTTTTTTATTTAAAAAGATTACAAAATGGCGGCTCAGGAGTCATTCCCGCAAGTCAGGTATTATTTGAGGCGCTCCGCGACAAGCAGCATAAGTGCCGCAAAAATGAATTTGGGACAAAAAAAATTTTTTTCTTAATCTACATGAGTATAGCTAGAGAAGTACGTAGGGGATTTTGAAAATATTAATTTTTGATTAATTGGTGGTCATTTGAATATATAAAGTTCGATTTGTGACCTAAAAGATGGATACTAATTCGTACATATAAACTCTAAATTTCAATTTATCGAAAATCCGTTACGTACTTCTCTTCGGAATGTTGTTTTAAAGGTATGGTAAAAGGTTGGACTGAAAAAAATGAAAACTTTCAGTTATGCTGCTTGCCGCATTGAAAAAACGTGTTTCGAGAAAAACGCGTTTAAAGTTGAGCTGTGTTATAGATATGAAAAAAAGAAAAATTCTATTATTACAAAATTTTTACCATTAATCTGCAATCCCAGGACTATAAAGCTGTCTTTCTATGCGACATTTATTAATGTATTACGGAAGCTTGAAACCAACAAGTAAGTCATTAGGCAGTACCTTCGCAGTAGGTATCCAACCGATGCAGGTAGTTGTTCCGATGCAGTCCGACGCGTTCGATAAAGAGCTCGAAATTTCGAGGAAAAACATTTGTTTCACGGATTGAACTTTTTTCCCCGTATTCTCCAAGGTTCAAAGGTTTTTTTAAGCAAGAAAAAAATTTTTCTTTTTTGAAAATTTTACAGTGGTGTTACCCCAAGTTAATTTTATGTAATGATTATTCTTAATTTTTAAATTTAATTTCTTAGAATTATTTTTATATAATACTCCCCCCACCCCCCACCCACCAAATTATATATATTTAGAAAATTTTATGTTTGTATGAAGGTACACACACACACACACACACACATCTACACGGAGAGAATGATTTTGCTGAAGTATCTAAAAACTAAATTAAATAGATTTGAAAATAATTTTATTAAATTGTCAAAATAATTATACAGAAATCTCAAACATCAAACATGAGCAGTACTGCACATTTTGACATTTTATCAATTGACTTAAATGTCCTCCCATAATTATTTTTATAATCCAATAAATTTGCGGTAACTAAACTTTTAATAAAATTATTTTAAAATTTATACTTCATTATATTTTTAAATACTTCATCAAAATTATATTCCTTCCATATAATAAATTTTTAATCTTCATATATTTGTATCTATCATAAACGGAAAAATCTTGATATTTATAAATATCACGTTTCTCTTCAATTACTCCGTAAATAAATTGCTTCGTGAGTATCAATAAGATTTAATAAAATCTAAAACTGCTTCGTAGAACTAAACTTGGTATATCAAATTTTCAATATCTTTGACAGAAATATCTTTAGAATAATAATTGTGATATATACAATATGTAATAAAAATATAAATTCCTAGTTTTCATTGGAACTCACCTATAACCGTAAGATTAATCTTTTGATTCTTCGTAGGACTATTCTTAAAATCCACTCTGCATCTGTATACGCCTCCGTCTGTGAACTCCAAAGGATCTATCTCCAGCTCAGCAGGCTTTACGTCCGTCTTCATAATCGCCCTTTCACCGAACACATACGGATCCGACCAAAGCCTCGCCTGAGCTATCTGCCTCCCTCGAGCATCCATGCTGTATATCGGTTCGCCATCCTTTTCATCTTTGTACCAAAATACCATGATGACCGTCTCGTCTTTAATCGGTGGATCGATGTCGCAAGGTATCTTAGCTTTGAAACCGGCTACTGCACTAAGGTCTGATATAGGCACTGAAAAGTATAGGAGAGAGACAAAGTTACACAAAGAATATAGTTCTTCGTATCTTTATATTATACATATATATAATTAAAAATGTATATAGATTTTTAAAAATCTATTTACGCGAGTATTTTAAGATTTTTGTATTATTCTTTGTATGTATCATATATCTCTTAAGATTTTTTAATTTTAACAATTATTCTCCTCAAGTCTTTTATACTCTGCATAATAATTCAATTAATTATTATTTTTTAAGCATGAAATTAATCTATTATTAAGTTAACTCTGCAAACTATTCTTTTTTTAATCTCGTATTAATCAAACGAATATTATCTCTAACAAGTTTAGACGTAATATTATAGACATTTTCATCATACACTGTTAAATCTATAGTGTCAAATTTAACTTAACATGAGTCGCCATTGCTTCTACTAAATATATCGTTATTTTACTAAAGCGATAATTAAATTTGACACTATATAATGTCAAATTGACACTGTATAATGTCAGACATAACTATTGTTACAATAACAAGAATATAATTGAGTAAGAGCAGTGGAGATTCACATTAGATTAAATTTGAAACTATAGATTTAACAGAGTGTATTAGTATTGCAAACACCACACCGTACCACGACACAACAATTCTTCAACGAGAAACACGGGTATTCACATTGCGTTTCTACGGCTACGCTAACGGGTCCCGTATCCGGTAACAACGCTGTCTGCTATCGTACGTTTTCTCACTGAGACCGCAAATTTGGAGTTTTAGTCAGTCACCGTCGGCGCCGATCGAATTACTGCAAATTGGTCGAACGTTCCCGGGTCGACCAAACTCGGGACGAACCAGAGACAGAAAACATGCACGCGCGCGTGTGGTCGTGCATAGAAACAAACGCGGGGCGCGCGTTCATCGAACGGGGCTGCACGATCGGGTGAACCCAATTAATCGGTCTACTTGCCGATTTATAACGGCGCCGAGCGTCGGGCGCGATTTTATTGGCTTTCATAGCAGTCTCATCCATCGTTCTGGTGTCTAACGCCCGACCAGCCGACCATAGCGGTCTCATTATCTTTTCCTTCGTTGATCTTAGATGTAACGGGTATCAAGAGAGTTACCTTCGAAACGAGCATCCGTCGCTGCCGCCGCAACAGCCACCAGAGATTAATTGAGCGCGAACACGGCTGACGTGTATCGGCTTTTCCACTGCGAGACTCAATGCCGAGCATGGCGCGAAAAGAAAAACGCTGCTCGAGATAGCTGCATAATCTATAGTTTTTTAAGAATTTTAAATCTTGATTTAACGATTGCAGAGGAGACGGTTTTAAAAAAGAATCCTGTTCTACATGGCTCGCGAGTCGATAATTATTTAATTCAATTACGCGTTGGATGTACTTAATAATTGTTAAACAGATTACTTCTTGATCGATACGGGATTCTTATCGAGTGCAGATATTTTTGCTGAAATCATTTCAGTTACTTTTTAATAAGATCTTTAAATACACAATATCTCCTTTATCAGGTTGCTTTTCATGCTAATGAAATGAACTGTAACGTTCAGAAGACGTTGGCGTCCCTATTTTAATATGAAAAGGGAGAGCAAGAAAGAGAAAGAAAGATAAAGGGAGGGCCATCGATGACTGTCGCATATAATTACGACCCGGATCTCGCGCGCATTCAAATTCTGCGTTGACGTGAGCTCTGAGATTCATCACGGACGATGGCGGTGTTAATGATACGATGTAATTAATGCCAGGTGATGAATGGCCGTACGCACGAAGTAACTCGTTAACAAACGGCAATGGGCACGTGGCCGCGCTTTCGCACCTTTGCGCTCCACTGATACGTGGCTCTGAATATTCACACGTTGACGCGTTTGCATATCCGTGCAAACTGAAGTTATGCTCCGGGTGAAAATTGCGCGATAGCGATTGCGTTATCGAGAATAGGATGCATTACGTAAACGTTTGCAAAGAGCAAACCAAGATATACTATATATATATATATACATATATATATAAAATATCGCGTGAAATGTTGTAATTTTCGATCAAACAAACGACTGCGCCGAGTGGATTTTATAAAAATTATTTAAAGAGCGAACGCGACACACAAAGTTCAATATTTAGAAATCGCATCGAATCCACGACGTTAATGACCAAACATTACGAAAATAATCGGTTGCGAACACGCCGATTAAACGTTTCGAAAGGTGGGAAGGGAAGTCGTTAATGCTGCAATTAAAATGTTAATAGCACCGGCGAGTCCTATTACCTCGTTAAATCCTCCCATGAACCTCGTAAATTGATGACTTAGACAATGAACCATCGACAGACTCGGCGTACGCAGACGCTTACGTATTCTGTATGCGTATATACGAGTGCACGTACGGCGCGCCTGTCCACGATACGTGTATATGCGTGTGCGGTTGCGATCTCGCACGCGCCACGTGTATCGCGTTTACTTGAGAGCGTGGCGAATATCCGTTTCTCGGGTAACGCGGGACGCATACGTATCCGCCGACACGACGATCCCGGAGTAATTATTCAAAGCAAACACGAACGCCGTCGTGGATCGGTAATACATCGCATTACCCGCGCCCATGTATACATGGAACCGCGAATACAGATTTAAACATGCTATATATACGATGCGAAGAGTGGATGCGAAGTAATGTACTGATTGGTGACGTATTGATTGGTGGATGGATCGAATTTATTGACGTCGCTCTGTGAATACTAATATAAATTTATAGCAATCAGATTCGCGTGATCGTTCACGTCCCGGTGTACATTAATCATTGTGTTTTAATAATTATGACAAGAGAACGCAATAATGAACGTATGCTGCAAAAAGTTTTAACATTTTAGCAATCAGCTTGAGCTACAGTAAACATATCAGTCAGTGGACATAGCTCAATTATCGGAGGAAATGGTAAAAATTTTAAATATTAAACTTTTAATTATATACCATTATAAAATTCGTCTTATTAAATTGTTACGAATAACGAATTTATTTAGAATCGTACATATTATTAAAAATTTAATATGTAAAATTTTTATCTCGTCCAATAATTGGGTCGTATTAATTTTAACTGTCCATTAACCGGTGTGTGCATTTACTTTATATAATTATTTTTTGATTGCTTAACAAAATTATTTTGAGATCTGTATCTAAATAAATGTTTAGAAACTTCAGTAAAATCGTTTTTCCATGTTTTTATTGACGCAACGGTTGAAGTGCAACGAGATGTAATTTCAGTAGCAGTAATATTTTGCCATTTTTCGCGAACATATAGTATTTCTTTCTGTTTATGAGCTCGAATGCATCATGATATTGATGTTTTCATCGACTATTTTCTAATACGCAAAAATTCAATTTGCGCTGCAGCCATTCGCAAGTTTGAAAGTGCGAGCCTTGTAATTTGATCAAAGCACCGCTGTAAATATCGTGGATGCGCAAACGTGGATGCGACTTGTTTTCTGTAGACTCAGGCATCGTTGGCAAACCGACGAGTTCCAGTCAAACATACGGAAAGTAGAAACCAGCACATTCGGGAAGCAATAAAAAGAAAACAGATAGCGATTGAAGGACGTACTGGCGTTCGAGTTGCGGAAATTGTAGTATTTCGCATATTTTTATATTGTATATCGCGTTAAATATTAGGAGAATGGAATGAAATGAAATTTCCAGTCTCTACAATACATATTTCTTAAATGATTTTCATCGTTTTTGAAGTCGAACCTGTGTTTTGAATACCAATAAGAATTATCAAGCTAAATCTATTAATTTTCAAATGAACAATCGCGCCATTACGTATTCTCTCAAATCCATAAAGAACGAATGGTCGTTACTTTCGCGCACGAGCACCGCCCCATCGTACAAATACGAGGTGCAACTTTCTTGCCAAGGTAAAGAATGCACTGGGAAAACTTTGACAAAATGCTCTTTACGTACTTTCCTCCAGTCGCCGCGAAAGGGAGAAAAGATGAAAACAGGACATTGAACGAATATTCCATTTCTCAATAGGAAATCGTCGGTTACCTTTTTTTATCCTGAGCACCAAATCGTTGACCCAGTTTCTGCATACAAATAGTACACTATAAAAAATTTCAGTGTAAATTTAAAACATTATGAGGTGTCTATATAATTCTCATCGTATCAGTATTAAAATATTAATTAATGGGAGAATTTATAACTCGTAATGCCTATGTCATATTATCGAGATTTTGGATTTAGAATCCTTGTTTTAAATCCACTTTATATTGATGATAATATTAGCAATACGGTGAGACAGGATTGTCCTAAAAATTGGTAATTCAAAATACCATATCAAGAAAATTCTTGAAAAATTTTAAAAAGTAAAAAGGTTATTTGTAAACTTTTATTTTAAGTAATAATTTTTAACATGGATTTAAATTTAACCAATTATAGACTGTATATTTAGATAACCCACCTGTTCATGAGTTGCGCGCGATAATATTAGAACACTGATAAGCTCTTACTAATAATCTCAGGTGACTATTTAATCCTAATATTTCAGAAATTGTTAATTAAAATAAAAATTTACAAATAACTCTTTTTTACTTAATTTTTCAAAAATGATTTTGCTATAATATAATATTTTGAGATTTATCCGTTTCTTTTTTTAAGAAAAGTAAATAATTATCTTTTAAAAATTTAATATTTTGTTCATTTAATGTTTTTTAAGAGAGTCTTGTGCGATCCTCGCTTCTCTCTAAGAAAATATAGATAATTTCTATTATGTAAAATTTTTCACAACTTTGTTCGAGCGTATCTGTAAATGACGAGAGCCATTAATGAACAATGTTCAAACTCATTAAGAAGCCATAAATTTCGCTTGTCCACGATGATTATTATCATCAGCCTATTTAACTTCGTAACGTCGGTAACTCGTCCGGAGCCGCGCGTGTAAACATTGGGCGGTGTGCAAACGTGGTGCCGGCTCCTTTACCGCCGCATCCGGGAAAACGGCGTCATACCACCCCT